CCGGTACGGGCGCGACACTGAGGGTTGCTATCCGTTGCCAGTCACGAAAAAAGACAAAAAGGAAAAAAAAAAATCCCTCATGTTTTAGCTCACGTTTATTTCCTTTTTGTTTACTTTTAGAGATCCTACAATAACATTTGAATCTTTCGTGTAGAGGGAATTTAAGAGATCTCTTACACCTTGCCCCTGCCTATGAGCAGAACCTCTCTCCCTTGCAGATAAGGGTCTTCCCTACTAATGCACCTCCAAGGGCTAAAATTCCACATTCTTCAAGGTGATTCAGTTCAGGGGGTTATAAGCTTTTTTTTTCTTTTTTTTTTTAAAGCAGATTTTTGGAGTTGCTTCAGAACTAACATGTAACGTAAATCCATAGTATTCCTGTGTCTTAGCTCAGGCTTCCATAACAAATACCATACACTGGGTGTCTTAAACAACAGAAATTTGTTTTCTCACAGTTCTGGAGGCCAGAAGTCCAAGATAAAGGTGCCAGCTGATTCAGTTCCTGGTGAGCGCTCTTTTCTTGGCTTGCAGAGGCTATCTGCTGGCTACGTCCTCACACGGTGGGGAGAGAGTGGGCTCTGGTGGCTCTTCTTATAAGGACACTTATTGTATCAGGCCTCCACCATTATGATCTCTTTTAACCTTTGTTACCTCCTTATAGACCCTATCTCCAAATACAGTCACATTGGGGATTAGGGCTTCAACATATGAATTGGAGCAGGGGACACAATTCAGTCCATAGCACAGTGCTTGACAAATAATAGGTTCTCTATATAAATATTTGTTGAACGAATTAAGCAGAGAACAGTATGCTGTCGTTTGAGTGCCTTCTGATGGAGGCTGGTCACCTTCCTTCATAAATGCAGTCTTATATACCACATCCCCCAGCAAAGCCATCATAATTATTTCCCCTGATTTATGTCTTGCTCAAATGGACCATTTTTTCTAGCATTTTCATTACACTCAATATGACAGTGTGCCCTACAGTCACTAGCTAGCTGTTCTTCACAGCCTCTCTGGGAGACAGTCATTTGTACCCATGGGTTCCAGTTGGGGAAGTGATAGATGAGAAGGAGATTGCTCAGGGGTCCTTCAGGGACCAATGCTTAGCAGGCCTGGGACTAGACCCTCACCCAAGATCCTGCCCCATGCTCCAGTCTGTGGATGCTTGTGATACAGGGCACAGGACCAGCTGCCTGCCCCCTTTCAAAAGCAAACCACTCAAAAGTCAAATGTTGGTGAAAGTGGAAGTTAGCTTTTTTTCAGGTGATCTGAGAAGAGATGTCAGGCTGACCCATCTCTCTNAAAATATCAAATAACCATGGGAAAAGAGGGAACTCAGAGAAATGCATGCCAAGAAAAAAACCACGTCCTTTTAAAATCTTTTACGGCCCATGTGGTTTTAGGTCCCATCATGGCTTCAGTTCTGTTCACTGCAGCACTTGAATTCCAAAGGACATTCCCCGAAAACAACATCTCGGGGCATTTGCATTCCTGTGCAGCTACAATATCTGAGTCAGACAGGGGCTTTGCCAGTGTGTAATGCAGCCTGAGAAAAGGAGAACAGAGACAGCAAGGCTTGGGGGACAAAGAGGGACATGAGAGAGAAAGGAGAAGCTGAGGAAGGCATCTATCAGAAGATGCATCTGATAAGGAGATTGTACCCATGGACAGGTCCAGAGCCCAAACTGCAAGCCCCACTGCATGGGTGTGAAGAGTGCACATCTGCTGCGCCAGCCACCTACTGCTTTGGGTTTGATTATTTCCTCCTCCAGCTC